AAAGACTGTGTTCTTATATTTCTTCTGCATCTATTTTCCATTATTTACATTTCCTTTTTCCATGTGCAATGAATGATCTGCATATGTTGTTAAAATAAACTCAGTAAGACTAGGCTTTAATTTTTTTTTCCAACATTGTCAACTTGTGTCCTTATTGGCAAAATGTTAGATTGTTTCAAAAACAATCTTTTCAAAATGATTTCTCCTTCTGTTCACATTTATTGATAGAAGGAAAAGATTTAGTCTTTTAACAACATATTATAGGATTTAAAATAAGAAATGTAATTTTTTTCTTCTTTTTTTTTTTTTACAAACTAACAACCTAGAATCTTTTCTTATATTTTGTTGAACATGTATTCTGACAGTCGGTTACCTTTATGAATTACAACTGTAGGCATTTTACACAAATCAAGAGCTTATGTTTTTAATTTTTAAGCAAATAACGTTATCTGCTTCGTTGATTTCAGTAAATATGTATCCTTAAAAGTTCTAAAATATTTTACTCCTCAGTCATTTATACCATGTTGCATTGATATTTATTGCAGGGGTTGCTATATTCAAAAATATTGATATTCTTATTTTCATATGAAACAGATGCTAGCACACAAATGACTGTCATTTGTAATGTCTATTTCAAATCTCATTATTTCCACCTTGCCATTTTAAGATCACTGGGTATTATTTCAAGCAGCACAATTAAACTACATAGTAGTCACTGCTTAAATAGTCTGTGTACTTGATATAAAAAAAAAAAAAAAACCAAGAAGGCCAAATGGCTTTGTTTTTATAAAAAGAAAGAGACAATCCCTGAGCACTCCTGGTGGTGAAATGCTTGGTAATGTGCTGCTCTGTCTCCCTCGCTCCCAGTAAGCTCTGCAGTAATAAGCAGAAGCTCTTCAGAATGCACACCTCATGGAAGCAGAGGTACCCGGCATCCGGCTGTTGACATGAGATTTGAGAATGCCAACTAACCTCAGGTGCATGACCAGGTTACACCGCCATCCCCCGAGCCCTGTTCAGAGAGACTCACTCTCCCTAGGGACTTCTTGAATGAGATCTCCAACCCGCTTGTAACTTTTCTTGTTGCCTGTTGCCTGCTTGGATACTCCAGCCCTGGACACATAGGCTAGTGCTGCAAGGCAGCCCTCTGGCGCCTCCTTGTGTTGGACGACTGCTGAGCCGCTGCACGCCCTGGGTGGTGACGGCTCAGTTGCCATTTAGTGCCTGAGGCGTGAATTTGTAGAATGCTTCCGCAATGAAGGGCTAAAACCCTAATTAAGGATAACAATAACTACAGCATTCTGAGACCTAGAGGATTACTGTGGGGATATGATGATGTCACACGGTGCCCTGGCAGGGAATTTCCAGTAGTGGACTGCATGCTGGGCCTTGTGAATATTGCCTGCGTCTGGCTCCTAGACAGGGACAGACTCCCTGCAGAGCAGCTGTGGGGGCTCCCCTGAGCATGGACCTCAGCTGAGGATGTGGACTGCACAGCAAGAAAAGCGCTCCAGTCAATGGCCACGGCAGCCTTTTGGTCACTTTCTCCAAGGAGAGGCCTCCTTGCTGGTCTCCTGGAGATATTCCTTGGCATTCTTCCTAAAAAATCTGTTACCTACATCTTCCTCGAAAATCATACTCGTGGAGGTCACCAAAAGAAGCAGGAAAAATAACAAAAACTTTAATGTCCCAGTGAAGAGTAAGTTCATTCTTAATCGATGCGTGTTTTCAATAACAGCCACCTAATCAGCTTAATAATCATCTAATCACGTTGATTTTCAAAAGGAAACAACCTAGAAAAACTCGTAAAAGTGAGCTTTCAGTAAGAGAATAGATCTTTGCCTTGGAAAAGAAAATTTTACCTGGTTAAAAAAGAAATCTTGATTAGGATCTTATTCTTAACTTTTACACAATTATGTCAAAAGAGAAAGTTATGAAAACATAGCACTTTTTTCCAATTTACTGTGAACTATTCTGAGCTCATGTTAAAATAATTCTTGAGAATTTTGTTTAAATATTAGGCCAGGCATGGTGGCTTACACCTTTAATCCCAGTATTTTGGGAGACCAAGGTAGGGAGGATCACTTGAGCCCAGGAGTTCAAGACTTTCAATGAGCTGTGATTGCACCACTGCACTCCAACCTGGGCAACAGAGTGAGAGTCTGTCTCTGGAAAAAATATACATCTTAGACGTTAGCAAATATTAATGTAGTTTAGAAGGACAAAAGGGAAATGGTACATAGAATTCATTTATATCAACTTAAAGGGTTTTGAAAGGTGCTGAGATTTAGAGAATATTATTTCCACTTTCCATTAATTCCTAAGGTACTGCAAAATGTTTTATAAAGGCAATTTTTAAAAATATTTTCACAGGAACAATTTTTAAAATTTTTTTATTGTAAATAAATCATGGTAGATTTAATGCTAACAGTTGAGCTTTAGGATTTTTTTACTTTTTTAGTAATCAAAAATTTTTAAAAGAAAAAATAAATTTTGTATTAAGTAGTTTATGATTTTTTTTTTAAGAAAGCAAGATTTATTGAGAGGACAGAAAACCTCCCACAGTGGGAGAGGACCCAAGGGGTTTGCCCAATTTATGATTTTTTTTTTATGCCTGTAGTCCCAGTTTTATGTTTGTTTAGTTGGCATAGGAAAGAGATGCCTTGAAAGTTTGAGAAAATAGTTTGAATTTAACTAAACCCAACCTTTTATAGCAAATAGCATCTGTCAGTTCCCAAAAAGGTAACAGATAAGTTGAAATATAGTGAGGACACCTGTACTGAAAGCCATGTCAACCCATGCCATTCATTCATCTAAGTGAAGATACAGAAGTGAGCATATGCTTCCTGAACCAGATCACCGTAAACTTAAATTACAGAACAAATAATGTTGAAACTGAAAAGAGATCTAAAATTTTTCCAATTTAAAAAAAACACTTAAAAGAAGTAGACATGCTGGGCACTATCCCTTTGACAGATTTGTTTAAATAAACAAAGAGACTGGGTCATCCCAGCAGTTTGGGAGGCCGAGGCAGGAGGATCACTTGAGCCCAGGAGTTCAAGAACAGCCTGGACAACACAGTGAGACCTCATCTCTAGCAAAATACAAAAAACGTGGTGGCACATGCCTGTAGTCCCAGCTATGCCAGAGGCTGAGGCGGAAGGATAACTTGAGTCCAGAAGGTCAAGGCTGCCGTGAGACGGAACTTACCACTGTACTGCTGCCTGAGTGATAGGGTAAGACCCTGTCTCTAAATAAATAAACAAACAACCCGAAGGCTTTTGGATGACATGAAGAACCTAGCCTGAAAACAAAAAGACATAGTTTTATGGTTTATTGTTGCTCTTGTTTAATGTTATGTATCACTTAATCGCACATATGTCAAGTACAGATAAGTCCTCCAACTGATGAGACTGTTATAAAGAACTCTTGAACCCACCTGATCTCATCACAAAACTGCCCAGCCTGTTCTTTGCATGTGCCTTCAATGCATCGTGCTGGACTTAACTATGTCTGCATTTCAGAGGGGAGCTGTCCGTTGCATGGTCAACTCATTTATTGTTTCCAGAACTCTCTGACCACCATCGTTCATAATTTGATTTGTTTTCACGTAAACACATCAGATGCGGTACCTTTTTGAATACCATTTGTTAAGCAACTAGGCATGGAAAAATAAATGTTACTGTTTCTTGTTGGCTGCAAAACACATATCCACTAAACACATTTGCTGTTGGCATGCTGCAGTTGGGGACAATGGACTTTGCGGTAAGTGGAAAGGCCAAACGATCCTTATCCATGAGAACACTGCCTTCATACCCCACAAAGGCTGCAGCGTGGACCCACGGTAGCTATTCTGAGTGACTCCCCCTCAGACCCATTGCTTCATCATTTCTTCAGGCCCTGTGGAGTCCTGGTCCTCTCACATTGATGACAGTGTCACCTTCTAATGAATAGCACCAATACTTTATAAATGAAACAAGAAAACAAAACCAAAAAAATGAATACACAACGCTTCTAGTGATTCACTCGATTCCCACAAATATCCCTTCGCTACATTTCTACATGTATCACCATGTTAGAGACGAAGACTCCGAAACCCGTGTCTCTGATTCCAACCTGCCATTCCCAGCAGATCACACCACATCTCTGGATTGGGAAATTGTGAAGATGCACTTTTGATTTAATGCTTCCTTTATCAGCCTACTGCAATTCAATCTTAGCCAGTACCAGAGAACTGAATGCCTGAACAAATATAATTTGCCGATAGCTGCCACAGCAAATCAATAACCTGTTTACTAGCAGGAAATTGTGTTAGTAACATAACATCTCATTCCGTTAATCAGTCATCACATTCGTTTTATGTTGGCGTTGTTCTGTCTTGCGTGATTCTTGTCTCACTGGAATGAATGTAAGCATAAAGAAATGTAAAGTGTTATGTGTCTAATATTATGTATGCAGTGCTGCCAAATGCTATGAGATTGCATGAACTTATGGCTTTCACAGTTTTGCCTGGAATATAAAATGCATGCCTAATGTAGGTATAGAGATATATATATGTGTGTCATCCTGTTTTCCTTTAGAAATGTTTAGAAATTACAAGGAGATATGCTCCCAAATAAAATATAACTTTTTTTAAATCTCAGAAGATGAGGTTAAAGCTAAAATTACCCAACATTTTCTAGAGTGAATTCCAAACTAGGGTGGTTATCTCCAGTGCAATTGTGTACAAACTGCTATACTTGGTCTCAGTTCTTTCTGTGAGGAATCCAAGAAGGGTGTGTATACTTGTAGAATGAGATTGATCTCAAATTAATGCAGATGCAGAGATTGCATAAAGCTCAAATTTTCAATAAGGGAAAAATACGTCGCTATGCTACTACTTGCTGAAAATATTTTTTCTATTGAAATACATGACCATATGCAGTTCCATCAAATTATTTTCCCAAGTGGAACAGAAGAAGTGGTTTGAAATGGAATAATCATGCCTCTGTTCTCCACAGTCAGAAGCTAAGTTTTAAGGAACGTGTGCGCATGGCTAGCCCAAGGGGCCAGAGTATTAAGAGCCGACAAGCCTCGGTAGGTGACCGGAGGTCTCCGAGCACCGACATCACAGCCGAGGGCAGTCCCACCAAGGTGCAGAAGAGCTGGAGCTTCAACGATCGAACCCGCTTCCGACCCTCACTGCGCCTCAAAAGTTCTCAGCCAAAACCAGTGATAGACGGTGAGCCCTGTTTTTCCATAACCGTTTTTAATTTGCTAGGCTATAGTGAGTGAGATTATGAAGTAATTAATTCTCCGTGGTACCACTCAAAGATAGAAGAGAACCCCAGGGAAGGAATTGTTTGTTTTATTGGAGATTTATTCACGGCCTTGGGCAAATGTACAGAACATAAGTTTACTTTTGGAAACAACTTTGGCAGCTAAATCTTTATTTCAAAGAAGCCAAACACAAAATTTTGTTAATTCTTCACTTGTACCTACAACCTATTTATTTCTCAGACAAGGTCTGTACTAAGATCAGTGTGACTGTTGTTCTGATATCTGTGTTATGTCTGACCAGCAAAGGTCCAAGGCCAAAGGACAACCAGGTGCTTTGTGAATATCTTGCAACTCAGTTAATGATGACTTTTTCTGGTCAACAATGAAGGTGCCTCTTTCCCTCTCTCACATGCTCCATCTATCTCTAAGTCAGAGACCCGTGTTTATCTTCCCTAGAGAAAATCCTTTTGAAAGTTCTTTCAAAATCTTCCAATGATGAGTGAAATTCAAGTTCTTCTCCCAAGAGGAATGAACCTATTTCGTTATCATATTATGTAGCAGACATCTACTTGCCAACGCATTTTATTGAGTGCCACATAATTTTCATGTTTATAAAAGAAAACATTTTATTTTTCACTTAAGTTTAGTTTGGCTTTCCTTCTAAGTGTGCCCCTCCGGGATCTCTTATACTGGGCAAAGAACCAAAGTCAAATAACATCTCCCATTAATGCATTAAAAACGGCAAAGGCTATCAGTCCTTCTGTTCTCTTTTCCTAGAATAACCTGTATTTTCCCAGGCCCTGAAACCCCGAGGGATAAAATTAACAACCAGGGGTCATCATCGCAGTATCTCAGGCTCCCTTCTGTGAAATCCCTGGAACCTCAGCTTCCTTAGAGATCCGCGGGGATGACTCTTCCACTCTCAAGTGAGCAACACAAGTCTCCTCGTCACACTTCTTCATTCTCCCCACTTCATGGGCGCCCTGCTTTCAAGAACCCCCTTAGTGCTGAGTCAATGCAGCCCCTCCTGGCAGAGCTTGCAGCACCCGTATTTTTTGTGGGACATGCAGATCTTTGTCATGCTTCCCTTCCTGCTGTCGCTGTGCTAGGGTGAGAAATGCCTCCTCCACCAACACTGGACACTCCTCCATGAAGCCACTTGAAGCATCTGAGTCGCTTGTGGTACAGATTTTCAGTGTCCTCTGGTTTCCACATTCTCCTCCCCAGGATTTTGGCTGAAAGCCCTTGAGCAGCTGAGTTAAGAGTTACCAGTGACAGGGCTTTATGTTGCACTCAAAATAGACTTGCTGAATATAAATGGGTACATCCTTTCTGGAGGGGGGAATGCAGTTTGGCAAAATTTATCAAAAGGCTTTACATATGCCTAAGCCTAGACACATTCCACCTACCAATTCTATTTCTAGGCTGTAATAGATATGATGAAGCAATGTCAGACATTAGAAATGATGCTATAAATTAAAAACTATTGACACAGAAAGAAGATCACAAGAAATGTCATTCAATTTCTATATCTATATATTACATAAATTCATATGTTTATTGGAAAAAGCCTGGAAATATTTCTAATATATGAACAATTCTCTTCTAAGGGAAAAATCACAGTTATATTTTGTTTCTTCATTTTCTTTGCCTATATTTCCTAATATCTCTATACAGTGAACTTGTAAAGCTTTTGTAATAAGAAAGCAAAAGAAGGTTTTTTATTTAAAAAGTTAGCTTGTAAAAAAAAGTGAAAAAAATTTTTAAATAGCCCTTCTTTCCCCCCCCAAAAAAAACAACCCCTCCTTTCACACACTGCCCTCTCCCCCGTCAGACTCTTTGTTGAGTCTGGTACTCACCAAACTCCTCTCCTCAGGCTGATTCCCTCTCAAGTGGTAGTAGGAGCACCTGGTCTTAATGGTGAGGAACAACGTTCACTGAGTGCAGACATGGACTGTCTAATGATGTTTGACAGCTTCTACTACAAGTAGAACTTGTATTAGCTTGATCAGGCTGCCATAACAAAGTACCAGGTGCCTTAAACAACAGAAATTTATTTTCTTACAGTCTAGAGGCTAAAAGTTCAAGTTCAAGGTGTCGGCACAGTTGGTTCCTTCTGAAGGCTCTCTTGTTGGCTTGTAAGTTGGTCATCTTCTCCACGTGTCTTCACATAGTATACCCTCTGTACTCACCTATGCCCAAATTTTCTCTCCTTATATAATGTCAGTCATACTAGATTAGGACTCGCCCTAATAACCTCATTTTAAATTAATTACCTATTTATAAAGACCCCCATCTCTAAATACAGTCACATTCAGAGGTACTGGGGGTTAGAACTTCAACATATGAAGTTTGAACAGGTACAATTCAGCCCCTAACTGAGCTCCTGATCAGTGGCACCACAGCCTCTCTACCTGGCAAACTGAGATGTGTCCACATCTTCAGCCCTGCCTCTGGGTTCACACTGTGCTAGAAACACATATATTACATATTAAAATGGTAGGTTCATATTCTTTCAACATGGGCTTCAGAATGCATTCACCTTTGTGCTGCAGGTCCTGAGACATTTAAATATAAAATTCATAAAATCTGCATTCTGAAGATGGAAAACAAGTTCTACTTGTACTGTCGGGCCAGAGGGAAAGAGTTTTCCAAAGACTCTCTGAATCAGCATCTGTCACAGTGTTCTCAGTATATGCAAAGATATCTCAGAGGTCAAACAGATGCAGAAGTCTAATTCTCTACCAAATCATAAGTTGGAAAGCTCTCCTGCAGCCATTTTTTAGATTGTTTCCTACAAGTACAGTTTTGTTTGTTTAAAAAGGAAATGCCTATCCCTGGCTGATGCCCATCTCAGTTGATTCTGAGTTTCTCAAGTGAGTAGAGGACTGATTGCTGTTGTGTTGAAGTGACTTTGTGGGATACCTGTCTCTCCTGGAAGAGATAGTGGCTCCTGACTCTTCATTTAATTCAATAGTCCAGAAGCGTTACCTGTGATTTAACTTGACGTTGGGTCTTAGGAAAACAGAAGTTCTTTTTTTTAACGTGAAAAAACTGAAGTAGCCATTAAATAAATGTAAGCTTCAGTTATACATTTTTATTTATAGTGCCTCCCCAGATTTTAAGTATTTCTTTTTTTAAAAAAAATTTTTAAGATGTGGGGTAAAATTCAGGATTAGGTATACAAATGTTCATTATGCAGATACCCTTGTTGATAAGGTGTGGCCCCCACTGGCAGATTTCCACTACTGCCAACTCTTTTGCTATAGTAGTATGATAATTATTCAAGGTCCTGCTTATGAGTGAGAACATGTGATACTCAGTTCTTTGTTTCTGTGATAGATCACTCAGTATTATAGACTCTTAAGTCCATCCAAGTTGCTGTGAAGTTCATAATTTTCTCCTTGCTTATGGCTGCGTAATAGTCCATCGTGTATATGTACCACATTTTTTTTAATCCAGTCCTAAGTATTTCTAAAGTACACTTACTACTCATAGAAAATAATATCTAACACAAACAACTTTCAGTTATTCCAGGGCTAAATAATTTTCTCATTCAATTATGGGGTTCTTCTTCTCTCTTTCCCTCACATATTATAGGCATTTCTTTACCTGTTAGCATGCTCAGGGACAGTAGATGAATAGAAGGAAGAATAATGGAAATTCAGATCTTTTTTAAGTCACTAACAACAAGTTACATTTGGAAAATAATGGACCTGTAACTGAAAGATGGTGTAATAGAAAAATAAAAAATATTTAGAGTTAATATATAAGCTTTGATAATTTCTATCAAATCTGATACCATTGACTACAAATGATAGTATTTTTATAATTTTTTGACTCTTACAAAAGGTTATTAAATATCCATGTTGATTTCTCTTTGCTATAATTTTCATCAAGACTAACCTGTTGCACTTTAAAAGGGTATAGTTGTTTCCTAATGTTCCATATTCATGTGTACCAGACAAGTGGAAAGTAGCAGGCAGATATTGAAGCCAGAAATGTGCAAATGACAAAGAAAAGAAAATAAACTATAAGGGAATGATACTATATTGCCATACCAAAGGTATTTTGACTGATATGATAGAAATGGCATTTTTAGCTTATAAATTCTATAGTAAGAGAAAAATACTCTATTGGTCAATAGTATTTAAGCCTCCTCATATAATTTTAGAAATTAGGTAGCATAGAAATGATATTTTGTCACATATACAAAAGTAATGATAATGATAAAACTAACACATTTGATTCTTCTCTGTGGACTCCCATTTAATTTCCAATATCTCTATGAAATAGTTACATTACTATCCCCCATTTTATGGATGAAGAAACTGAAATCTGAAGCTAAGTAACTTACCCAAGGTCTAGAAACCACAGCACACACTCAGGCAGTCTAATTTCACAGTCCTCTTATAGACATACACTAAGATATGCTCCCAAATGTCATATACATTTCCTTTTAAGCATCTTTCATTTCTTCCTCCCCCTCTACCTGCCCCCTACTTTTACTCTTTCATTTTCAGTTGGTCATATTCCCTTTCCCATCAAGTTAGCCATCTGACTGTGCCATTATCCAATCTTTCTCCCATCTTTTTCCCAGCTCCAGCTGCCAAGCCTCTCAACTACATCATCTTCAAAGACTGCCAGAGCTAGAAAATTAGACAAATTGGGGAAATGACCTTCCAGTGACCCTTCTCAGGTAGCTGGGAAGAGACTCAGGATAACATACGTGCTGGTCTGTGTCTGTTTACTTAGGAAGGGAAGTAAATGGTGAAGTTATCTGAGGCCAGTTTCAAGATGTAAAAGGTAGTATCAGAAGATGGGCAGGTGTCAACAACAGGAAGGTGGCAGATTGAAAGTGAGAAAAATCACAAGAAGCCAAATGATATTAAAGTAGAGTTAGAGTAAATCTTCAGATTTCTGGTCACTAGTTTGCTATCAAGGAGTGCTACTCTTGCTGCACCCTGCTGCCTTTGGGAATGCCTTTCAGAAATGCATTCAAAGAGTATAATAACCTTGACAGAGAATGACAAATATGTAGCTTGAGGGAACTCCACTTTATCATCCTTAATAACTTGATACTAACTAAACCCAGCATTTTATAGTAATAAGCATTTGTTAGTTTGTATTACATACATGTATAACCATGCATGCTTTCACATGTTTAACATTGTTTCTGCTTAAAAAGAAGGTATCACTTCTGCTGAGCAATCTTTAGGAGTCATGCTGGATGTTGTGAAAGGTACATTCTCACTAGGTGTTTACGGGAAAGACTGGCACAACCTGGACACAGGAGATGTACGGGTTTATCTAGGTGGAGTCTGGGTGAGCAGAAGACGCTGAATACTAGCCAGTTGTGAGCGTCCTTTGAGGCTAGGCCCCTTGTTCCAAAGACTGCTGATATCTCTTCTCTTCTCTTCTCTTCTCTTTTCTCTTCTCTTCTCTTCTCTTCTCTTCTCTTCTCTTCTCTTCTCTTGCTTCACTTCACTTCCCTTCTCTTTGCTTCTCTTCTCTTCTTATTCCTTTCTCCTCTTAGCCAGTATATCAGTTAGGATGCATTTCGCAGCAGGGCACAAAAGAAGCAGACTTAAGTACCTCAATCTATAATGCAACTTATCAAGGATAAGACAGCTCCTTGCTT